CCCCTTTGCTGTTCAAATCAAACTCAACTTGCGACTGCCATGACGAAATAAATCAGTATGGCCTGGAATATTTTTGAAATGCTCTACGAATGGGCATCAAACTGTTCGGATGAATAAACAATGTGCCATGTTTAGAATTCAATTGAGGGGTAATTTAAACCAATAAATACATTACTTTTATACCCTTAAAGATACCTTGCCAGGCACGGTAACATACGCCCATAACCAGCTGTCAGAAATGATAACAAAATCTTTAGTGGCTTAATAATGAATATTCAAATAATCTTAAAGTCATCTATAAGTCAAGGCAAAACCCTGAAACAGTTTATCAAATTATCAAACATGGACAATGTCTCATCGACGTACACACAAGGGCATTAGCTCTGAAACGGTTCATCCGATTATTACCAAATTCTAACTTGATCGAGATCTCATTAATTATACATACATACCTAATATTCATCTAGTTTGGATAAAAACTGTAGTCTCTATTGTGCCTTCAAGCCAAATTTGACGCGTTTTTACTAAATCAAGGGCAATAACTCCAAATCCGGAAGTCCAATTATCACCAATTTCGAACTTGACCGAGATCTCATAAATATATACATGCATACCAAGTTTCATCAAGATCAGATAAAAACTGTAGTCTCTATCGCACCGACAAGGCAAATTTGACGCGTTTATACTAAATCAACGGCAATAACACCCCACACCCACACCATGTGGGCGTATAAAAATATAATCGACCGGTTTTGTTTATAAAATCATAACAAACGGTGTTTGTATAATTCCGGTCAGAAAAAACCTAAAAATAGAGACAAATTCCGCCAAATTCTAACTAACTGAGACTCTGGGTTTCCTTTTGTCTCTTATGCATGGTATATTTCTATAAATAGACAAGAGGAATATCGGCTATCGTGAACTCAATTACTGATTTTATAGTTGGTGTTTTTTATTTGTTTAATTTTATTGTTATTTACAACAACATTCCAATTAATTTGATTTGATTAACAAACTGTGTAAACGGTATAAAACGACCACTACATTATCTGTCAACAAGTCGTAACAATGCGAGTAATTCTACAGATAGTTTTCGTTGTCATAGCCTTAGCTGGTATACATTTTGCTGAAGCGTCAAGTTCCAGCAATAGACAAAAACGTAAGTTTTTATTTAGCCAATGCTGATTAGATGTAAATATGGGTAGGTTCTAAGTAAAAAATCCAAATTAGTGCCCGTATTGTAGAGCAAAGGAATTATGCAGGGTCCGAATTAAATCATCAACATGAGCAGCGCATCTGATGATTGGCGATATAAAGAAAGGAGCTTCCAGCATCTGAAAATATGTTTCTTTTTCACCTGTGATAAGCTGAGGTACAGGCACTCCCAAATGTGAATAAAAAGTGCATCAACATTTTTTATTATTTTATTTTCATTTCAGGGTGTCGACGTCTGCCTTTTCTAGCTAATGGAAATGTGCTACAAAATGGACGGACAAATATAAGGTATGAATGTAACCTTGGGTACAAGTTGAAGGTTTCTGGTGTCTGTCGACGTCGGTCGTGGCTTCCAAATGTCATTTGTGAAGGTGAGAAGAGTTTACATCATATTAAAAGATTAAATTAACTTAAGATGACCAAAAAATTGAAAGTTTTAAACTTGGCTGGAATGAGTCTTTCTTCATCAGTGGATTTGCCTAGTGTCATACAACAGAATCCGTCTATAATCCAATAAATCCATAAACCTAAGTAATAACTCGTTGAATACAGTAATTTTGAATCATGCTTAGAAGTGTGTTTCAATAATCATTTAGTTTAATGGATTATCATATTATATAGAGATTCTATTCTTTTCTCACGTCACCGGGTAAGTCCAACTGATGCATATACACTAATTGTTGACCAAGTTGGAGACTTCTAATTGAATGACCATTCTAGAGGTAGTATTCTAATTACTTAATAACTTTAAATATGATCACAACCACGGTATCTATTCGTTGATGGACAAAAATATGAACATAATGGTTAAACAATAGACGTGAAAGATTCGAAATTTGCCGGAAGAAGATGCGAACTTTAAATTATCATAACATGATAAAAAGCATGTATCACAATTGGTAATGAACATGTACCACTATTTCCACTGTTGCGAGTACGTATTGCTGATACGAATTTTAATTAACATGATTTAATTGTTTATTTAACAGAAATACAATGTAAAGCCGATCCGGTTATACCAAAGGGTTCTCTCGACTCTAGTATAACTTCGGGGATCCTCAGAGTCGACCG